AGCAAAAATAGATCTAACATGTTTTAAAGAATTTTTTCGCAACACATGTGAGACTTAATCAACTTAACAAACAAAAATGCAACCAGTACCTCTTTTATTGTCATTAGGCAATGGGGTATTTAATAGTGACAAAATGTCTTTTGATTTTTGCAGCTGTGACAAGGGAATATCTAGATCATGAAATAGTAAATAATAGTAATCTGTGGTTTATTTCACATACTATGTGAATGTGGGAGGTGACATATGTCATACTCTACTGGTTCCCTCACGTCAAGTAGCAAATGAGGAACACCCTCATCAAGCAAAGCCTTGTAATCCTAGGAGAGTGCAGGTGGACTTTTACTGGAGGATTGTCTCCTAGTTATTTTTGATTTGGCTCAGTCTTTTTAGCAACTTTAAAAGTTTATAAAAATCTAAGCTTGATGATGCATCAGATAAAATTATTAAAATGGAGAAGTCTTTTGTTTTCAATTTTGGCAAAATTTGGCTGAGTACCCTGTACTATAGTACAGGGACTTTGGCCTGATTTTGGAGCAACTTTAAAAATTCATTAAAAATCCAATTTTGATTGGAGTCAGTTCAAACTTTCTACACAACATAAGAACATGTATATGCATCAGATAAAACTATAAAAATGGACAATTCTTTTCTTTTCAATTTTGGCAAAATTTGGCCTGGTACCCTGTACTATAGTGCAGGGACTTTGGTCCAATTTTTGAGCAACTTTAGCCCGGCCATTTTTGATGAAATACCATGAGTAAATGCACACAGCAATAAAGAAAGAAAAGAATGAAAGAGATCATGACTCACTGCACAAGATATCCTCTGATTCTCAGTAAGTAGTTCTTTTTGTCTCTCCTGCGATAACACCACTAAACAATACATGCATTACATACATGTACTTTGTCATTAGGTTTAGAGCCACAGAACTGCTCATAATCAATTAGTTCCTTGATTGTAGGGTCATCCCCACATATTGAACACTCCGGGTTACGCTCTCTTAGCTTGATGTGCCTAAATGTGCCGGAAAACCCATCAAATAATAATAATTTTGAAATCATAGGATCTAAAAAATAGAAGGGAATTTAATAAAGACTCAAATAAAGAGAACACATACCTCCAATGTCAGTTATAATCTTCATTGCTTCCAATGCTTGTAGTGACCCAATTACACCAGGAACTAACAAACATAAAACAATATTTAATAAAAACATTTTTCACCCACACCGCTATTTCTCTTCCTGTCTCCCTTTTCCCTTTCTTACCTACACCGACCACGCCTCCTTCAGAGCAGTTGGTGACACAGTGAGGCGGAGGAGGACAAGGGAACAGACAACGGTAACACGGTCCTCCTTTATAGTTATAAACTGTGAGCTGCGGTGAATGAGTTCCGCTATCATGAACGAGGATTTACTGTGTATTACCTGACCTTCAAATCTTAATGCACTTCCAGAGACTAGTGGCTTCTTTAATAGAACACAAGAGTCATTCAATAAATATCTAAAATGTATTAATTAATTATTTTTTAATTTTCTCTTCTCTCTTTTATCTTTACCTTGTAGCAACGTTATCACTTGCATCTAAAATTACATCATAACTGATAAAGTTAAGGAGACAAAAATGCACTCGGTATTAATAGGATATTATCAGGATATTATTAGGATATTATAAGGATAGTATTAGGATACTCTTTAATGATGTTAAGTGCATTGGTGCTGTTCAAAACTAAATGATGAGGAGTCACTTTAACTTTTGAATTTAAACTGGAAAAAAGAGTCGATTTAAAGTTTTAATCTTTAGTACCTTTGAATAGATTTCTGGGCGGAGCTCACTTTAGTTACACCCACTCTTCCCTCAGTATGTAATATCTGCCAATAATAGTCACGTGATATCTCCCTCC